TTGAATCAACTGTCTTGCCAAGCAACACAAATTTAGGGGTACTATTATTTATTTGGGCAAGTCTGGAGCCTGGAGCAATGTCTGGGAGCCTGGAGCAATGTCTGGGAGCCTGGAGCATCGTCCGGGAGCATCGTCCGGGAGCCTGGAGCATCGTCCGGGAGCCTGGAGCATCGTCCGGGAGCCTGGAGCATCGTCCGGGAGCCTGGAGCATCGTCCGGGAGCCTGGAGCATCGTCCGGGAGCCTGGAGCATCGTCCGGGAGGCTGGAGCATCGTACGAGAGGATGGAGCATCGTACGAGAGAATGGAGCATCGTACGAGAGAATGGAGCATCGTACGAGAGAATGGAGCATCGTACGAGAGGATGGAGCATCGTACGAGAGGATGGAGCATCGTCCAGAAGCCTGTTTGCCTCACAAGTTGAATTTGCACACTTCTTACAAATGTATTTATGAATACCAATACAATTAATTATATTTTGTTCAACTTCATTGCATTTGTAGAAAGTAAAACAAGTTTTCCATAATTTATGAACATTTTGTAAACTTTCAAAGATAACATGGATGCCTACAATACAGAATTAAAATGTTCAGAACAAACTGAAGATGGTACAGTAGTATAGCCTAATATTGTATATTTCTGCTGACTGGAATCTATGTTGATGCAAATTAACCCGCCTCCCAAACTTTGTGCGCATATTAGAGACAGAATAATACTTACAGAAACATGGTTGGCGATATTATGAGACCATCCATGGATGTCCATCAATCGATATAAAGAACCCAGCTTACAACGTATTATTTTCTCCCCCTTGGTGTAACTTTGTGAATTTAAGCCACGGATATCAGCTACAGGCATAATGGCGGAGTAACCTAGGTAACAGAAAACAATGGAGAAAATAATGTTACGTGACTAGTAACGTCAGTGTAATGAATCTTGGGAGAAACAAGTTTATTTTGTGAAAGACATTTGATTTAGTCTAAAGAATAATCTTTGTGGTGATAAACAGATTTTATCATTCAGTGATATTCCACGAATAATCATGTTTTACTCTGAACAAAAAAGCAACCCAACCAGCAGTATTGCAATATAGCACATTGTTTTACAAACAAAACATTGATATCAGCTCAGCATTGAACTATAATATTGCTACTTTGTTTGCAAAACATTGAACTAGATATGTTGCCAGGGGCGGATCTAGGATTCTAGAATAGGGGGGGCCGAAAAGTTGGCCTAAGGCCAAGTTCGCGAGCACCGTTGGCACGAAGCCCTGTTGGTTGTTAAAAATGGGAGGGCGCAGCCCTCTCTAAATCCGCCAATGGTTGCAATATGCTGATTTTTTGTTAACAATAAATGCAAGTTATAGGTGATTCTGTTCACGCTGAGATCATACGTTTTGCAAAAAATGTGTGGATCGTACATTTTGAATTTTTTTTTGTATAACTGTTTGTCAAATCCCACTCAGTGTTTTGACATCAATACGACCTTTGAAGAGTCTTACCTTTTCCAAGGGCATTGGAACTACCAAGGGAAGTCTGGTTATACCTTGAATGAGGCAACAACAGATCAGATATTTGTTGTAATGCTATCAAGCTAGCTGGGTGGGGTCCGGTCTATGAGTAAAAAAACAAAACATTACATCCCAAACTGAACAACAATAAAACACAATTAATGTAATGAATTCCAAGCATTATTGAATAGACAGTTGAGAACGACAGGTCATCTGGGTGAAAGGTCATCTGGGTGAAAGGTCAGGACAATATCGTTAATCAGAGCACACTGATATACATCAACTGCATGCAGATAAGAGCAAACCATTAAATTCAAGCAAACATTACATTTATTACCAAATACTGTTAAAAGCATTATTTTTTTTACTGATATTTCATGCAATTATTTTGAAATTTGATCAAATTCACTAGGTTTTAACAGTCAAACAATGACTTATTCACACAGATTTAATCCAGCAGATTTGGGATTAGCAGAAATGATTCTGTTAATACCCAGTTAATAATTAATGCCTTCACAGTATTTCAGTTCATGTATACCATGTCATCACATAGATGCAGATAAACAAGTAACCATGGTTACAACTTACTTTGCATACAACTGAGAAAATTACAAACAATTGTTTTTGTCTGCAATGTTCTAAAAACTGCACGTCAAGTATATTGCAATGTAAGCTGATGACACATGACATGACAGATATATTATAATCAAAGGTCAATGTCTTTGCTTTGTATTTTAGACATCTACTATAAAACGTGTCCATAGCTATGATGTTATTTTCAGCTCATTTCAAATGTGGAGAATTTGGCTAATTTGAAATATGGCTAATACGGATAATTTGAATTATGGCTGATACAGGTAATTTGAAATATGGCTAATACAGGTAATTTGAAATATGGCTAATACAGGTAATTTAAAATATGGCTAATACAGATAATTTGAAATATGGCTAATACAGATAATTTGAAATATGGCTGATACAGCTGATTTAAAATATGGCTAATACAGATAATTTGAAATATGGCTAATACGGATAATTTGAATTATGGCTGATACAGCTGATTTAAAATATGGCTAATACAGGTAATTTGAAATATGGCTAAAAAGGATAATTTAAAATATGGCTAAGAAGGATAATTTGAAATATGGCTGATACAGATAATTTGAAATATGACTAATACGGATAATTTGAAATATGGCAAAATTCAGGATAATTTGAAATATGACTAATTCAGCAAAAAGTCCATTAAAGTATTGAGCCAATACAGTGTAGCTAGTTCAACACGTTTTACACAAACGAAAAATTCAATATTTTAAAGCTAGAGAACTAAGAAAATAAAATTTTTAAAAAAATTCAAGGTGAATGCCAATATAGTTTTAAAATGCTTCAACATTGATGACAAAGCAAAGGCAAAGACTCCATTTATTAATACCTTATCACCACACACCAAACTAACATTCTAAAAATATTTTTTTGATTTACCAAAGCATTCTGTTCCGAGCAATAGCAAAAGCATTATAGGTGGGCATGAACAAAAATATTGGTACTTTAATAAAAAAAAATCAACACAAGAGCAAACAAGTGATTGTTTGTTGTTTCTTTTTACCAAAATACTTGCGATGATTCAAAAATCTGCGAGATAAACTCCAAACATTTAACAAGCTACGTACAAGGTAACCTATCTAGGAGATACCTACTACAATCTAACTTTGACATACGGGATGCATAGAAGAAATCAGAATATAGTCAAGATAATAACTGAATATTATGTTCCACCACTAGAGGGCGGTGTGCCATCACTAGAGGGCAGAATGTATAGCAATAGAAAGGGCATATAGACCCAGCATACAAGATAGTGTGTGGTATATAAGAAATAAGCACACAAAATGAATCATTCAATGTTTTTTGTATTATAATAATGTGAACAATAATTAAGTGAATATCCCCCAAAACCTGCAAACAAGCCAGGCTCACACTTATTTAATAGGTTAGCACTAACAAACAGAAATTGTTGTTCTGTCTGTAGATACATATAATCTACAAACATGACAACATTTCACTACATTTTCAATAATTTATTTGAAACCTGTATGACATCATGCAGTACTCTCCCAGTAACCAAGTGGTAACCAAGGAAACAAATTTAATGATGATACATGTGGTACAGAAGGTATGTATCACACAATTCAGAGCTTGTAATTGTGAACCATTTAAAACTTTGGCAATATAATTTTTTTTCTGGTAAAGTGTGCCATATACGGTATAGAATGGGGAAATATTTTAGTTTCCGTTTCTAAGGATGTTTTGTTGATACAAATAAACATTTAATGCATATATTCAAAAGCATTATGTAATAAATGTTATGATACATATTGAACATATATCTTGTTGTGGTTGATTGTATTGAATGATATGAACAAAAAATTAAATAAAATTGAACTGCATGAGTTTTCAATTGGACGGGAAGAAAAACATTTTTCGAGACCCTTAACACAGGCAAAGTAGTTAGAAAATAAAGATAATAAAAAAACAAAAAATATTTTACCTTAATCTGACTCTCTACAATCTCTTCCAACTCTTCTCTAAAAGCCTGACTATTTAAAATCAGCGATACTCGCTTTCTTCTCTCCATCTCGCGCACATCTTCTTTGATATTTGCTGGTCTCCGCAACTCGCGCTGGTAGTCTGGGTCGTCTGGATCACATTTGTCAATGTACTTTTCTTTAGAATCTTGCTCCTTATTGTTGTCCACCTTGGCATCGATGTCATTTGGTACGTCTGACATTTTGGAGACTTATGACAGGCCTGAAATATTCATAAACACAAATTTTTATTATAAATTCACAAAATATTTGATAAATAAAAAAAATCCATTCCAACATAACTAAACGAAAGGGGCATGGCAATGTATAGGTTGGATGTATACACATGAACAAAACCAACATAACAGGAGCAGCACTTCTAAATTATTTGCATTACTGACAAAAAAAGTGACAATGAGAATTTATCACAAGACAACTGGGCATATGTTCTACTGATGTGGTACGCCAAGTTTCACAATTTTCATCTTTTTCATTTTATACATGTTCGAACAGTATAAAGAGAAAAACAAAACATACAATGTACATATTTTATCTCATGGATATAATATTTTCAGATTGAAACAAAGCTAGTCAATCCTTTCCCAGCAATAATAACAATTGTCTGTAAATATGTTGTGGCAGTTTATTTTGAAAAGTTATAAAAATGGTAATAAACGCACAACTACAAATATGCATTCACTGATGCACCCAGCTGTTGTCTATAATTAGCATACGATTCTAGCATTTATTTACACAAAACATCTCAACTATCTTTCCAATTTCAATGCCAGTCCAAGTTATCCAATCAAATTTTGCATACAAATAATCAATGGTGACTAATCAATCAAAATATAATAAGCAATCATAAATAGAATCAATAGAAAATTATGAATTTAATATTTCATATCGCACAAAAGATCACAATTTTAAAATACACAAAAGTGGTGACAAAAATATAATGTATTCGTCTTATAAAATTAAAAATAACCTTTGACATCAGAGATCTATAAATTCCTATCCCATAATAGTATATTTCATGTCACAACAGAACCCCCTTTTTTTTCAATGTTTTTTTTTATATGACTACTGGAATAGGTGAACGAGACAAACAAACGTATTGATGTGCCTCAAAGCCCAATGGCTATTTTATAGAGATTTACAACGGGGCAACAGAGTCTACAATTATTTTACTGAGGTCATTTAGGTGTCAATGACCTACTCTAAGTATATTATAAAGTACATTGGAACTATACAGCAAATACAACTAATATTTACTAAAAATGTTGCATTTTTACCTAGGTTTTTGTCACCATATCTGGTATCTAAATATTATCACATTATACAACGCTTGGCTTTCAACGCTTTAACTGGGGTCACTGAAAAGTCAACCAGTAGGCGAGGAGGGATCTGTTTTCATAATTGTGTGAGCACAATTGAAGGATTATAGTGCAGTGTCAGTAAAACGGAATTTGTTTGTCCAGAAAGAATAAATTGTTGTTGACAGATTTTGGGAAAAAACATCCATATTATTTACTGACTGTAATAGCAATTTTAGTTTAATTACAAATTTATTAAGAGCTTTTTCTGCAGTAGAGACAGTGAACTTAAATAGCCATCTTTTTTATTGGTTGGGAAAGGACATCTGAGTCATATTATGCTGTTAGCTGAAAAGTCGAAGTATTGATTGTATAACTATGTACCAGGAAGTTGGCATAGTATTCATTACGTTCGTTTCATTGACGGCAGGCAAGTAGACAGGTACTGTAGTAAACCTGTCTGTCAATTGACTTGAGACAAAGATTGTTGCCATGCATTCGCTGAATATTCAGGGCATTGGCCGACATAACACAGGGCTGCTACTGAATGCAATCCAGTCATTTGGCACATTATAAATAAGATTCCAACATAAAACATGGAATTCTAAAGATCTGCAGACAACAGCACATTCATATACTAAAAGAAACACAAGGACGAGTCACAGGGAAACTTGGTTCTTTAATTACCCACTCACAAGAAACTTACTATAAAGTACACATGACTAATTCAAGACTCAACTCGATTTTCAATTCATTTGCTAATTCACTTATGGGACTTGCTCAAGGTAAATTCATTGAGCAATTGCTTAATTGCATTATTAAACTTGTAAAATAACGACCCAATGGCAGACCTGGTATGTACACACCCACCCTAACAATGCTAACAGTTGTTAGACAATCTGCACTGCACTGTTGTATTTCATTAAAAGTTCAAAATGTGAAATGTCAAGTGAATCGAGGTATAAACATGCACTGCATTGTGGGATATTGCTGTAGATAATGTGACACGTGTTATAATCATTGCCTGGCAATGAACATCAGAGGCTCCAATTTAGAAACTAAAACTACCATTTAACTACTATCTCCCTGAGAAAGACAAACCAATTAAACTAAACAAATAAGGAAAAAAATCAAAGCTCATCGTATTGCAAAACAGCCTGGCAATGTATTCACTTTATTGCCACCAAGCAATGCACAATATGAGACATAAAGATAACAATTTTACAAATCGACAAATTGATATGAATGTTAATTTGAATTAGAAGCCAGTTAGACAAATACATCTATATATTGCTAACAAATAATTACTTTCAAAGACCAAAGTTACTGGTGATTATAATGAATCATTCTATCTTCACAACTCAATACATGTAAGTTAGGGTGGCAGGTGCTATGCATGTCAGCAATTCACTTTATTTCTAACATTGAATTGAAGTTATTACTCAATCACCATCAATTAGTTACCCCTCAATCAATAGAAATTAGTTTGCCTTAATCTGGTTATCAAGGCTAAGGCCATTAGATACCTTCCTAGGATGCCTCCAGTTTTAATTTGCTTGGAACAGTGGGCATTTCCAATATATTTCAACCACAGCCATATCCCAGACATATTTTAAGGTTATTGTGCATACACACATAATTCAATGATGTTCTGATCCCATAATTCTAATGATTTACTTTGTAAGATTTTATTTTTGTTGTTATTTTTATTCATTTCAAAACCAAATCAGGTAATAAAAACACAGAACAGAATTATAAATTGCATTTACAAGCAGTGTCTTATTAAAATGACTGGCAAGATAAAAACAGCTGTCCTGAACACAAAGATGAATGTGATTAGGAAAGCTATGCTATTAAAATTTATTCAAAATAGTACGAATTGAAAGTGATAATTAGCTTTTCTGGGTCTTGATTTGTGAGTTGAGTTGAGTTAAATGGCAAGCCCTGACATTATTGTGAACTGAATCATTAAAATACTTGACAAATGCACCTGTCATTCACTCGATATACCGTACTAGTAATACAGAAAATACAATATCAAGTTTTCACAAGTTGACAAACACAAACTTTTTCTTTTGTGTGATTTTGGTCAAATATAAAGTTTTCAACCTAAAATGACATAATACTTTCCATCAAAACAACAGTATGGCGACTGATTGCTTAATGTAAAGTTGGTGTAAATAACTAACTATTAATAGTAAGGGGCAATGTATTGAAACCTACATAGGGAGAGATATCAGTACACTACAGGATATATATACCCTAGTTACATTATCCACTTCAAGATAACAAGCATTCTATTTCAACCTAAGAAAAGAGGCAGTATAATAACATAGAGTCAGTAACTGATGATATACAGCAATATGGTAAAGTTACTTTACTCAGCACACACTAACAAACATTAGTGAAACCTGTTTCTCATGAGGGACAAAGTTGATATGGTGATAGGTAATCAAAAAAGGAGGGAGTTTTTTGTCAAATCATTTTATCAGAAGTCTAAGATTTATTTTATTTAGCAATTCAATTCACTTTGGTCTGACTCAACATACACCTCATTATTTCACTCTGGCGGATTATTCAAATTAAATATATCGCATTTGCTAATTAGCATATGCAAATGAGATATTTTAATGATCATGCATTAAATGCAATTAAATCAATTTAGTTAATATGTACTTCTAACAAAGCAAATAGAAGACAAATAAACATAGTAAAACCTAAGTTTTCTCATTGATATAATACATGCTAAGATACATTACAAAAGTAAATTTTTGCTTTCATACAACGAACATATGCATGGCATTTTGGGATATGCAATAATTTCAAGAAATGATAAGTACCTACCTATATAATAAAACTAAAATGGAAAACTGTAAACATGCACCCTGATAAAATTGGATTGGACAGGATGTTTTATTTGGAAGTAATTACACAGTTGGCAAAGTCCAATAAGACACTAAAATGCATAAAAACTAAAGAAGTCATGGAGAGCAGTCATAAAAGTTATTGGACAAAATGCCCCAGTGCCTTTTAATCTTCAGCTCTTTAAATAAAGTCATTAAACGCTAACCAGACAAGTTTACTAATTATTAAAATATGCAGAGACTGCACTAGTAATGATGTACATTATGTGCCCAATACACATAAACAAAAGTGACATTGAAACCATGTAATAATAACAAATAACACTCCGAATCAAAATAAATATTTTGTTATTTGTGATACTAACTGCAATTAATTTTTGTGTTTAGTGAAATATTGTTCTTGTCAAAGTATCTGTTGTTAAATCAATGTGTAATCAATGTTCATTTTTTATTAAGCATGCATTACATATCCAATGGGTACCATATGTTTTGAAATTATCAAGAAAACACACAGTTTACTTACAAACATCTTAGCCAGTTTTCTTTTGTTTTTCAATGTAAAGTATAGATGGCAGTGTGATATGGACTTAATTTGAACCATCCTATTTGAACCACACTGGGACTGTTCAACTCACAATAGCATTATCAAACACCCAAGGTGACCCCTGAGGTCAGACTCCCATTTCTGGATTGTTAATTCCATTAATGTCAATAAATAAAATCTCTTAAAAAATAAATATTTGTCATGTTTGATGGATACATGAAATCTTGTGACTGTTCTGCATGTAATAATTTCACAGGTCATGGGGTTTGTAACATAGTGAATACACATGAATTGCAAAGGGCCCCTATGGCTGTATAATGAGTTAGTGTACGGCTGTCCTATATGCATACTAATGGCGAACACGGCCAACCCATGTCTGTTTATTCTCGCATCAATCCTCACACAATTTCAGAGCAATTATAAATAAGTTTAGAAAGACTACTGAGAGAAATATGTCTCTGCAATTGTTACTGACTGAAAACATGGTTACAGTTGTTGA